GCCATTTCCTTTCTGCTTGCCTAATTGATTGGCTGTTTGATTCATGTTTTGGGAATTGGCCGCTTGTGAGCTTATTATGATGAGAAACAGTTTTTTCCCTCCTCTGTGTACATTAGCTGTCTCAGAGCTATTGGATCATTGTGTGGCATCACTCTCTGTTTTTCTCTGCATATGCAACCTGTTTTTTTTCCTTCCCCCTGCATCCATTCATGATATTCATATCATTTTCATTCTTACTCATACACTGCCTACCTCTTGCCACTACCCTCACACATGCACACACCTTATCTGGCTTCTTCTTCTCTCCTGGCAGAATCAAGAGTTACACCGTGAGGTGCAATGACAATTCGAGGGGGGAGAGGACACTGTGTGGTGTGACACCGCACTAAAAGGGGAGGTGACCGCAGTGCTTTCACCGCGCTGCAATGCCTCACTTTCTCCTGTTGGGGTCTCCTCAACACTGGGGAGTGCGTGAGAGAGGAGAGGAGAGGAGAGGAGAGGAGAGGGAGATATGGAAGAGATGAAGGGGAGAGGAATGAGGAAAGGAGGGAGGGAGGTGATATGGGTGGAACAGCGTGAAGCCTTGTGGTTACATCCTTTGATGAGGTAGCGGGTGGGAAAAAAATGGCTGCGCACCAGAAACACATACGTAATTCGTGCTATCTCTCCCTCTCTCTCTCCCTCACACACACACACACACACACACATTACACATGTGCCTGCAAAGTCCTCCTTTTCCCCAGTGGTGTATTTGCCACTTAGTTCAGCTGTATGTCTGTTTTACATCCCTACACTCTCTTAATCACTCCGCTGTTTCTGTTCCTCTTATTAGTATTGCAGACCATTTCCCCGCCCCCTACACCTTTACAGCCATTCAGGTGCTGTGCTGCTGCAAGGAATTTTTCCTGTCTTCTCCCTCTCCTCCCCCACCTTTTTTTTCATTTTCCCCAAGATCGCACACTCTCCTCTCTCTCTCTCTCTCTCCTCTACCTTACCTACCGCGCCCCCTCCCCTACCCTTTCCATCCTTTTCTCTCCATCTCATCTCATCTCACTGCCCCATCTCCCCTCTCCCCCTGTGTGATTGGTAAAGGTTTTTGCTTTTTCTGCCAACTGCTGGGTCGGTTCCGCATAGTCAGCACTCCTCCAAATTCCTCCCTTGCCTTCTCTCCCTGTCTTTCCCTTTCTCTCTCTAGTGTGCCCTCTCCTCCCCTCCCCCCTGTTACTGCTGCTGGTACCTCACAGTCAATGCATCCCATAATCCTGTGCCTCCTCCCCCTCTTGCTGCAGTGTTTCTGCTAATATATATTAGCGTCAGTGGAGCCTTCATGCACGAGCCATGTGTATGCTCTTTTTCTCTATCAGCTCCATTCTCTCTATCTATCAGTCCACTGCAGAAATGATGATGATTAAATCTCATTTTTGGTAATTTCTTAGCCTGTTTGTTACAGCCAGGTGAGTGTGTGTGTATGTGTCTCCCTTCCTCGCTCCTCCTTGCTTTCTTTCCCCTTGTGTGTGTGCAGTGGTGAGGCACTAGTAGCAGAGTGGCGCAGGACATGGTGGCCAAGGCAGGAAATGCTGCAGGAGAGAGAAAGAGAGGTTTTGGGGGAGATTGTTCCTCGTCTCTGCTGCTCTGCCTCAGTTTTTATATCTCTTTCTTGTGCATTCCCCTTTCTGCTTTCCCTTTCACCTCTGTGCTTCTTTCATCTCGACTGCATCTTCTTCCATTTTACACCAAACGCTCACCTTCTGCAGCTACAGGCCCCCTTCCATACCTTTCTTCCTCCTTATGCTGTCCCCCCTCAGCTCCTGTTTTTTTTTCAAGCAAGTGCTGAGACTGGCTCTTCAAGAGATGTGCTTACCTCCCCCATTCTAAACTGAAACGCTTAAACTGCGGTCATTCTCCTGAAATGCAACTAGAAAGCATTAAACTTACATGCCCTGAACTCATTAAGATCAGTAATCTGGTCTTGTTGACAACTACTTTTGCACAAACTTCAAATTCAAATTTCAGGACAAAACAGTGTAACTAGTCCTGAGGAAAAATGAGAAGAACCTAACAGCCCCCTATCCCAATCAACCTCCAAATTAGTTGCATAAAAGAATACTTAAGTAATTTTTAAAAAATCAATAAGCTCACCACACATGACTCAGAGGGAACAAAAAGGCACTTAACCACAGTTACAGACTTGTGGCTGTCCGTGTATAAAATATTCAGCAGTTCACCAATAAGACACAGCTGCCTGTGAAGTAGAAGCAAGAGGTGCAGAGTTCCAAAGTGAAGCCAAAAAAAAAAAAAAAGAGTCATCCAAGGGATAAAACTTCCACAGTGAGATCATTACAGCTGCTTCTGGAAAGTTTAGTATCCCATTAGAAGGAGTTTGTCCCAGCCAGTGAGAGAGAGAGCACAGCTGTCCATGGTGCTGAAATGTAATCCATCCCACAACACAAGCAGTCCCTGCTGGAAAGCCCCACAGGACAACGCTGACTATAGACAAAAATCTTTTTACACTCTCACTCACTCTCCTGCCTGACCTCGCTTTCAAATTGTTTAGTTTTAGATGTTATTGCAAGTTATTACTAAATCAAATGAATCCTGATTTCAATTTAGCTGCACAGATGCAGCCAAACCTACTTTGGTACAGTGATGCAGTACAACTCTAAAACTCAGGAGTGCAGGATTTTTTTTGTCAAGCAAGCAGATTTGATGCTCCTGCAGCAAACACTGCAAAGACTTAGAGGGAAACACACAAGATGCATTTATTTTAGTTTTTAGTAAGATTTGTGCCTTAATTTTTACCACTCGGACTGCATACCCATGCAATAGCCTTGGTCTTTAGATCTTACCTCAGTGTTGTTAAGTCTTTGCAGGATCTTCAAAAATGAAAAAAAAAAAAATCATACAAAGAAGTCAATATAAATTCTGAAAAAACAAAAAACCTCATGTACATATAAGACCTTAAGAGAGACAGCAAACTTTTCCATGAACAAAAAGTTGTTTCTTCAGATAAAAAGTGCAGTGCAATGATCAAAACATCATAGTAAACACTAATAACAAGTAAGAAAGAAAGGATGCAGTATCCCGCATAACAGAAAGCAAAAAGTCTGAAGGGGAAGAGGAGGAGAGAGTTGACCCAAAGTGAGGGAAGCTTACTTTGGAAAGGGAAAAGAATGGGACAGAAGAATGTGTGACGCAAAAGAGGGTAGAAATGGAAGAAAGATGCATTAGAGTAAAATGCAGTGGAGGTGAGCAGAAGAATGAAAGAGAGAGGAAAAGGGGGCACTGGATAGGAATAAGACCATGTTGTGAGAGGAGGAAGAGGAGGAAGAAATGAAGCCTTGATTCTCCTCCTTCAATGAAATGTGATTCCTTTATGCGGAATATGAGAGCGAGCGAGGGAGAAAAAGTGAGGGAGAGAGAGAGTAGTAGGAGGGAGAGGGGGAGGGCCAGTGAGAGCTCACAGGAGAGGAGGGGGGGAGAAGAGTGGTGCATTTCTTTGAATAGAGAAAAAGGTTAACAACATAGATACGGTGCATTTGTGGGCTCTTTTAAAAAATCGTTTTTGCTGTGGATGCGTGTCTTTTCTGAAGCGCCCCCCCCCAGATGGAGAGGCAGCTTGCGGGCGAATAATCTGACCTCGCTGGGAGAAGGAGAAGGAGAGAGACAGAGAGAGAGAGCAAATACCTCTGGCTTTTTACTGCAGCAGAATTCATTCACTTTTATAGTGCACTCTCCTTTTCGATGCTCTTCCTCCTCCCCCCTCTCACTCTCCCTTCAACCCCCTTCTTCCATTAATAGGGAAGAGATGATATTACACTAGCTGTTCACTGTATGAGTGTGCTGCATTCACTTTTTGTCCCTCTCTTTCCTCTCTCTCTCTTTTCACCCCCATCTTCAGCTCTTTGTTTTCCTCATTGTTCTGTCCTTTTCGATCTGTCCGTTAAAAAAATCTGATTTACGGCCTCCTCCTCCCCCCCAACATCCCCCCTCTACATGTCTTTACACACACACACACACACAGTGCATGGGAAGAAGTGGCAGAGAGAGCATTGACATAATTGTGCATCGCATGAATCTCAGTGCGGTCGGAGGGGGCTGCAGCAGTGTGTGTAGCACGCACATAGGCTGATTGAGGAGATCTAACATTAGTACGGACACCGCACTCTCGGGAGGCAATTAACACACACACACACACACACACACATACACACATCCATCCACGGTGCTGCGCCACCTTACGTCAGAATGCATTCTGGAGGAAGGGGAAAAGAAGCAGGGAGATGGATCCCCAGTTTTTCTCCCATCTTTCCGTCACTCTTTCCTCCTCACACACTCTTGGGTGCTCAGGCAAGGAAAAGAGCAGGGTTGTTGCAGGTGGGGATGGATGGAGAGAGGCAAGTGTGTCTGGTGTGTGTGTGTGTGTTGTGGGGGTGCTCAAGTCTCACCATGGCCTAATTAGGGAGAGGATTTGAATGAACACTGACTTGAGCGTCAACCAGATCAATTTAGAGATTGCCAGCTTGAGGAGAACATTCAGTGATGCTTGGAGTAATAGCTCAGCGGAGGGAATGAGGATGAGGGATGATAACAGTGGGGTGACCCCAGTCCTATTATACAGGCTGGGGCATATTCTCATCACTGGGGTGTCAACAAATCAGCCAATGATGCTGACTCATGAACGTGCTCAAAGCCACCTGTTCTCATATGTTGCACTGATAAGTTAGAGGCATCTTAGTGCGCCAGGTTGTTGTTGTGTGTTAAAAAAAACTTTGCCACCCCTCTTTTTTATGCCAGTCCTCCCCTCACCACCCACCACCCACCTCGTCACCCACTGCACCTGCACAAGGCCATTTTGTGCCCTTCCATCAGCTGATTATCAAGTAAATGATTGCACATACAGCTGGCATTAGCGTATGGTTCTTCATTTGTATTGCAATGTTGATAATCCACATCTATGTCTCCCTTCTGCTAAAATGTATGCCCCTTTTCTCTCCCCGCAGACTCCTCAGACTCCTCCCTCCTCCTCCCTTCGGTTTCTCTCATCCTCTCCCTCCCTCCCGGTCCTCTATGCTCAGTTCGGTGTGTGTATCCTCTTTCAAAGGGCGCAAGGGTGGGAACAAGTCGTCCAACAAAGCATGTTACAGCGCAGACATGACTTGTCCGTCGGAAAGCGAGAAAATCGTGATAAACTGCGGGGGGGTGCGGCATGAGACCTACCGGAGCACCCTAAAAACGTTGCCCGGTACCCGCTTGTCGTGGCTCACCGAGCCGGACGCGTTCAACAACTTCGACTACGACCCCAAATTAGACGAGTTCTTCTTCGACCGCCACCCGTCAGTGTTTTCCTTCATCCTCAACTATTACCGCACCGGGAAGTTGCACTGTCCCAACGATGTGTGTGGCCCCCTTTTCGAAGAGGAGCTTGCCTTCTGGGGCATCGACGAGACGGACGTGGAGGCGTGTTGCTGGATGAATTACCGGCAGCACCGGGATGCAGAGGAGGCGCTGGACAGCTTCGAGAATCCAGAACCGGACGCGCCGGATGAAGACACGGCCCTGGGCGGTGCGGATGGGGACTTGAAAAGACTGTGCATGCAGGAGGACGCGAGGAAAGCTGGCTGGTGGAAAACCTGGCAGCCCAAAATATGGGCACTGTTTGAAGACCCGTATTCCTCCAAATATGCCCGGGTGAGTTACCCACGTCTCTCCTGGAGGGACCAACTTCTTTTTGCACTGTTGCATATTCTGCCTCATGGTGTCTCAGAGCAAAGCCTGAGTCATGATAAGTTTTTAAAACTTTGTTTTTTAAATGTTCTGTCCACATTATATATGATAACCCAGTCCTTCATTACCTGCAGGCCACCGACTGTCGTTATGTGTGTCATCCTTGCCACTAGATAGATGATAGATACTTTATTTATCCCGAGGGAAATTCAAGATATAGACTATATCTTGTATTAAGTAGATACTGATATTTAATCATTCATACTGATAGCATAAGAAAGTGGAAAATGGTATGGCAGCTATATCTATTGGTTGATGGGGAGTTGATATAACAACCAAGGTTTTTGTCAAACACATCACCTCCGTGTCTTATATTTGATATATTGCATGTTTCAGACGAGCTGGATTCACACTGAATACCGGTTTTATTGCTATCATAATTCCTATCGCCGTATTCTGCTACTTGAACAGGTTTAATACATATCTGCCTCCAAACACAGCATCCCCTTCGCTTCCTGCATCCAAACGCCTTCATTAGGTCGTATTTGTCCGTTTACGATGCACATTAAAGCGCCGTATTTCATGTTAGTCTTATTTATTGTAGCACCGCACTAGGGAGGCTCATACGATACAATCGTCAGTGTTCGAGTGCATGTCTTTCCCCACATTTGCCCTTGGTAGTGCTACAGTCTGCTGGTTGTTTTTTTTTGCCAGTCCCCACATGTCCCAGTTGAATGCTACATGGCTTTTACGCACGAGCTTTATTGCTGTTACGCACAACTTGTTCCAATGTTGGAATATCCTATTATTGTTCTCATGTAAATAGTTAATGATTTACCTCTTAAAAGCAAACGTTTGATGGCATTTGATCATACAGGTGTACGAGTAACAAGTCCTCCTGACTGTGTTTTTGATCCCTGGCACATGAAAACAGTTACTGTGGGCTTGTGGTTCTTTTTTCTCAGACCCTCCAGTTACAGACGAATCCAGCTGCTTGATCACAGCTGCTTTGATTTGAGTTGTTTTGTAATTCCCCTTTGTGTTTTTATTAGTACCATTTTTCTTTTCTGACTGTGTGTGAGGACCCATAGATACTGTGAATGCATGCGTCCTGTAGGTGCACATGCAAAACCAGACAGTCAGCAGACACCTGCAGTGGCCGATTCATGCCATCATACCGAAAATAGCTGAAAAAAAAAAGAAAATTAAAACATAAATCACTGCACACTCAGCAATACATCCTGTATCAACAATCACGGATAAAGACAATAGCTGCACACACAGGCACTTACCCACTGTTCCCAACACACACACATATACACACACAGCTCTTCTGGCACCAGGTATAGATCTGGATTCAGTTCCCTCCAAAGGAAGAGGAAAGTGCCGGGCTGTGACGGACAGATAGTCTGGTTGAGGCCACCTGATCCGCCTCTCTGGACTTGGGATCAGGCAGGAAGTGCTTCTCTAACTGTCACTCTTATCCCAATCGAATTGATTTCTTACCATCCCACCCCTCTCTACCCCTACTCCATGCAATAAAACAGCTCACATTGAGGCAGCTCTTTGCAGACTGCAAAAATGTTGCATGAGAGAGAGAGAGAGAGAGACATCTTCAGTGTTTGGATTGTGTGTTTAAGAATAAGTGGATTTGGTGCTGAATTCTGAATTCTGATAGAGCGAGAGGAGACAGCGTTTGCAGCATTGCTATACTTCAGATTCAAGCTACTGTACCTGCTGCCTGGCTGCTAGAATGCTGTATATTATGTAATGTACAGTTTTACACCGGATCAACTGGTTACAGTGGCCAAGATCTCATGAATCATACAAAAACTAACGCTCAGTAAGTGTAATGGTTGCAGATGGTGGTGTTTCTGATGCTACGGTGGGGTTATGCAGAGTACAGAGCAGGTAGTTGGTGGGATTCATTTCAGTGGCTGCACAACACCGGCTCTATTTGTGGGCGAATGCAGCCCCATTTCTCTCTGTAGGTCTGATATGCCAGCGCTATACGTCAAACAGCGTCGTGACCCAGATCATTCTGGGTTTTCTTTTTTCACCCTGGCTCTTTCCAAAAGTATCCCGTCCGACGTGGCAGAACCTTTTGGTCTTTCTGTCCTGAGAGATGCAAATTATATGAGGAGAGAAAAGAGAGATGAAGAGAGGCTAGGACAGAAAAAAATGAGATGCCGATGTGGAAATACAATGAGACAGATGAGAGAGAGACGGGGAGAGGAAGAGGGAGACGAGAGGAAATAGACAGGAGGAGAGACGTTACTCTAATGATTTAGGGGGTTTTGTTTGCGTGGCTGTGATGTAACGCATCAGCAATCAATGTTTTGATCAGAGCGTTCGACACACATGCAGGGCTTTTTTATTCATTTTGAAAAAAACATCTCACCTCCGTCTTTGCTCATGATCGTGTGAGGCTTGCTTGTGGATCTACCGTAGTGGCACACACACGTACAAACACACACATGCTGGTGTCTGTGCTGGATTTTCTGCTGCAGTAGACACGGGAGAGAGGAGGGGGGAACACTGGAGGAAGAAAAAACTGAGGTGGGGGGGTGGTGGTGGGAGTGAGAGGGATAGACAGAGCGAGGGAAATGGAGAAGGGGTGAGATAGTGGAGAGAAATGAGATGGGAAAAGGGACTGAAGGGGAGCCTGAGAGGGACATGGAGGGAGACGAAGAAGAGGAAGAGGGGTTTTGAGATAAACAGGGAGGAGGTGACAACCACAGGGAGAGAGAGATGTTGCGTGATGGGGGTGGGGACCCTTGTCTTTGTATCTTCGATCATCTGTGGACGCTTGAGCCATCCAATCTTCCTACCCTGGCCCCTTTGTCTGCCTATTGATTGATAATCAATTGATTATCTTCTCTTTTTGTCTGTTTTTAAAGCCATTCTCTCTTTCTTTATCACCTCATAAAATATGACACTGCTTACAGGGACTATTGGATGGCAACACGATGTTAATCCATTTCCAAAATGTATGGATGTCTATGTTTCTGTTTGATGATCTGTTATACAATACGATTTGCATCTGATTTCTTTATTGATCGGTGTCAGGTTGATGTAGATCTTGCAGTGCAGCTAAGATGACATGGAGCTGTTATATCATGTTTGACATTTGTTTTAGTCGCGACCCATGTTGTCCCTTTTGTTTAAGGATTTTTCTAATTTACTGTTTTAAACTCTAATCTGCATGAATGATAATGATTCAACTGAATAACCAAGGACCCACCAGTATTGATAAACTGCTTTGTTGATAAATTGTTTTGTTATTGAACCTAAGATTACCTAATTTAATGTGATCACTGTCACTCAGCAGGTTGAATATTTGGTGTTAAACTAAGATGAAGAAGATATTGTTTGAGGGTTAAATAGCCGTTAAGATAAGAGCTCTTATGGAAAAATAAAATAGTACTATAACTAAAAGGAATATTGAACATTTCAATGTTGTTGAATATGTCAGCTGCAAGTTATACACTGATGCAGTGTAAATTCTCGTATAAATTCAAATATAAGATTCATAAGATTTTCTAAAAACTTCTTTCTTCTTTAAAAAGAAATACCTTGTTTACCCTAGAATAATGTATGAAATCCAACGCGGATTATCTAGATGTTGTCATATAATGTAGTCCCACTGTCCGACAGTATTAGCTGTGTTTTGGTAAATTCCAGTTTCGCACCAGAAGGGCACAGTTGTCTTTGTCAGCAATCTCCTGACAATGCACTATTTGTAGCTCAGCATGTACAAGATGCCCCTTTGCCCCCTCCAAATCGGACTTTGTGTGCCTGTATTTGATTCATTTCGGGGGAGCAGTGTTGTGTCTGGAGCCCCGTATCTCTGAAGGTCATGTCTTGTGGTTCATTGTTTGCTGTTGCCTCAGTGTTCAGTGCTGGAGCGCGCTGTGCTGTCATAAACACAAATGTGACCTGCCTCTGTGCTGGACGGCCTCAGAACAGGTCGTCTCTGGGCAGAAACTCAGTGTGCTGGACAGAGAATAAAAAAAGACGTATTGATAGGCGTTAGTGTATATATAGATAAGGTGTTGGTGAATGGTGTGGAAAAAAAAGATTGCCCTGGGCGTGATTTGGGTGACATTACTGTTTCTGTCAGGGACATTGCATCACATTTTTAAGTGAGAAGACCTTGCGACCGAGAAAATAAGTTCCGTGTGGGTTTTGAAAGACAAAAGTAAGGTTTTTACTTAAAAAAATTTTCAGTAAAGTCTTACATTTCATTTTCAATAAAGCGTGTTGCCCTCTTTTGATTTTAACCAGTATCAGACTCATTTCACTAGGTCACTTCTAATTTTGAATAGTCTTGTGAGATGTTTGCACTAGTTTTTTTTTGCCCCAGAGCCACTTTGTTCCACGTAGAGTACGTCCCAACTCTAGTCAGAGCTTAATGGGAACTGTGGTGAAGGTTTGTGCAGGTTTTAACCAATCACAACAAACCCTGGACTCTACCTTGCCTTATACTTCTGGTTATTTGTTATGTATACCCGTTATGCTTTAGGGAGTTAACATCACAGCTCCCATTAATATCTGTATCTTAAAAAAAAGGTTCATCTCACCCTAAAGACATCCTTCTGAGTGTATGAACATCCTGTTTTTAACCTCAAAGCTTTAGCTTCCCTCACCAGAGTCCCGGTGTCAGTGATGAAGTGAAATGGAGATGATTTTTCTCTACTTTAATGGTGTTCTTTTGTGAACCGAAAGGTCTTAAGTGCGTTGAATTAAACTTTTACTTTTAGCAGTGGGGTTCGGTATTCATGCTTCCAAGTTGTTTCCATTCAAACCCTGACACCGCTGTAAGGCCTATTTCCCACTTCCATTCTTATTCTTCTCCCTGTGGGCTGCATCTGAAAATAGCAGAGCAAAAGAGAGGGAAAGGTGGCCTTAATTTCATTCGCTGGTGGCAAATCTATTCCTCCATTACTGGGGAGAGGAGTATT